TTCCGGGAACAATTCGTGTGAGCTGCTTGTCCGATACTTAAGAGAGAAAGTGGGGAGACCTGACTTGGCTTTTGCTGTGACAATGCGCCGTATTTTGGAAAACGAGCCTTTTCCCGCAAAGGTGGATCTTGCGCGTGTGGAATTTGCCCTCAGTCTGTTTCTGCAGTGGTTTGAGAAGTACACGCACGAGCGGCACCATGGCGAAATCCCACTGTTTACTGCTGCAGACCTCTGGAGTTTTGTGTTGGAACGACATACAGAACTTCTGAAGTGGGTGGTTTTTCATTACTGTCATGATGAAGTTGTGGCGGATTTGTCGAGTGCCTTGGAGGCCGTGAAGGCAGTGGGTTTCTCTGCTCGGCATTGCCTTGATGTGTATCTTGTTGCAATGGCCTCACGGCGTTTGTCTAATGATGTAAGGAAACAGTTTGAGGAGGAAGCAAGAAGGAAGTTATGCAGTTGGGTGGAGCATACCGTGGTGAATACATTCCTTAGCGCTATCCAATCCATTTGCTCTGAGGCAGCTGCAAGGGTGGCCGCAACTGCCACAACTACTCCTTCTTTTGCCTTTTCCCCAGAAATTATTTCTGTTCATATAAATGTTGCGAAGGCACAGTTGTTGCTTCTTTGCGATGCGGCATTCTATGCGATGGATGCAAGGAGGATATTGCTTCCAGTTGTGGACGTCGGATTTAAAAGGATGAGTGCAATGTCTGTGGAAACCGACCTTTCTGGCTTGTCGTGCTGGACGTTTTGTATGCTCGGTGTGTTGAGTTGTCTTCGCCGTTCCGTATGTTGCTTGAGGGATGGCAGTTTACCGACGGACGATTTGTTTACCACACTTCATTCACACTATCGAACCCTGCAGCGGTTGTCACCGAGCTCTACGGCTGACCTTGTAACGGATGCGTGGATTGATTTTCTTTCTGGTGAGGGAAGAGGTGCAGTTGTGGGTGCTCGTCAGGGGGGAATTTTTGACATTACTCGAGTACGGCATGCTTTAATTAATAACAATGACATCGTGGAGGGATTTGGAAAAGAAAAGGGGGGAAAGCGGCTGCGCGATGAGTGAATGGACTCTCGACGGACGAGTCATTAAGGCCGTTTATTGAAGCGAGTCAAATGCTTGCGGTTGCCCGATGAGAGTAAACAGGGTATCTAACGTGCGTGCATGTATGTGTATTTGTGTATTTATATATATTTTTTAAACTCTCTCTCTGTGTGTATTGTTC